GACTTCAGACTCTTTTCAGAGGGGTTAGTAGGCATATTAGTGGGTGTATTCAGAGTTGGTCCTTGAGTAGTAGAGAGAGTGTGAGTGCATGCGGATAGGGAATGAAGATACAGAGAGATAGAAGGCAGAGAGAAGACCAAGTAAGGAAGAAGGGAGAAGAGCTCCGGGAGAGATACATACCTGAGTGGAGATACTGGATACTTGAGTTTGTGCTGTTGAGCACCTGTGACCGAAACTCTTAATTGTTTATATGATAATTTGTTGGAGTTCTAAAGCTGCGCTACCTGGTCTTCATCTCTCTGGCCTCCAGTGTGAACTTCGCGTGATCTCATACATGCATGTGGTGTGATTGTGTGTGCTCGCCGGTGTTGAACTGAGAGGTTTGTTGCAAACTGGTATCGGAGCAGTTGCGCTCTGCACCCATTGGACATCGCTGGCAACGATAAAGGCCGGCGAGAAGGGAGACATGAAAGAGAGTTGAGTGGGGAGAAGACTGACGAAAGGGGGGGAAAGGTAGGCTGAAGAAGAACTGGCCTGTTGAGTTGTGAATACATACCTGCTGCTGCGTTGGAGCGTTGGAGCGGCGGTGGAGCTTCATCAACGAAACATTCGCTGACCTGTATTGCTCCATAAGACATCATAAGACCTGTATTGCTTGCTGAGTTGTTTGGTGTTTGGTACCTCCCTCACCCTGGTGTCGCTGGGCTGGTCCAAGTTGTCATATACTCGATTGACGAGAGTCTAGTAACCAGTCCACTTGTTAAAAAAAAAAAAAAAAAAAGTCTATATATATATAGTTTTGGGAAGGTATTCAGCAATCAGCAACAGTCAGACCCACTCGAAAGTTAGTAGCTATTGGTAGGGGTAGGTCTAAGTGGTGAGGAGGTGCAGGGCAAGTACATGTGCCTTTGATCACTATGGATGACTATCCCATGTTCGCGCTTATGGGGAGCACTCCTTGTTTTTTCTTCCTTCTTGGGTTTCAGAGAATCCTCTTCTCACATGTAGTGTTAAGGTTTGGAACGTCAAGACAGGCATACACAGCTGAAGAACAGGCAGAGGTAGATCGTTGCCTGACAGAGAAAAAGAAAGAGAGGGAGGAAAAGAAAAGAAAGGAGGAGGAGGAAGTGAAGAAGTTGTTAGAAGAAAAAGAAAAGATGGAGAAGGAGAGGATGAAGGAAGAACTGGAAGAAGAAGAAGAAGAAGAAGAAGAAGAAGAAGAAGAAGAAGAAGAAGAAGAAGAAGAAGAAAAAAAAGAAGAAGAAAATGAGGGAGACAGGTTGGAAAGGAGGAGAACCCAGCCGCAAGAAGAAAAAGTTGAAAGAAGTCAGGCAGGGGTGATTCAAATGCAACAGCTGGAGGCGCTGAACTCGATTGAGCAGTTCGGTTACAGGACGGAGTTCCCAGAAGAGGCGGAAGAGGAGAAGAATGCCTTTATAATAAAATTGGCTTCAGCAGCGGATGAAATGGAGAAACAATTGTTGTTGGAGGAGAAGAAAGCAGAGCTGAAACACCTACGAATTCCCCTTGGTGCAATTCCATCCGATTTACAGTCCGGTTGAGTGCAGCAAGTTCCTTGTTGGTGTGGAGGAGAGTGTCTGTTAGGAGGGAGAGTCGTTCATATGTGGAAGCCTATTTTTCATTTTGCTCCTGCAGCAGCTTCTGCAATCTCTCCCCCCCATCGTATATTTCAGTACGTTGACCAATTAGATAAAGCCCTTGCCAAAAGGTTGACTGACCCTGCCGTTGTAAGGAAGCTATAAATTGGAGGCGGGGGAGGAGATGGAGGAGACGATGGTGATGATGGGGACAAGAAAGGAAAGGGTCCCAAGAAAGATAAGGGTGGAGAAGTGGAGGAGTCTAGGCAAAAGATGAAGGTGAACTTGCCATGGGCCTATACGGGGAAGAAAAAAGAGAGTATTTTCCACTGGGAAGCTGAAATGGACACATACTTGTACGCGCAGAAGATTCCGTATTGGAACCGCGTGTTAATGGCTAGCTCGTGTTTAGCAGGTGACGCAATGAGTTTTGCCATCTCCCTGATGAAGGAGAGTGGCTGCACAACCATGGTCTTATATTCACAACAGACACAGATCGAGGACTTTTTTAAGGCCCTTAGAGAAGGGTTTGAAGATATGAATCTGGCCCGTAGGACTGAGTACTTGATCCTAAACATTAGTGATCGTAAGTGAAAGAGTGCGTCCGCACTCAAAGCTACTATGGATGGACTCTTGCAATGTTCGAACCATGGGTTGACACCTACACAAATTTTGAATAATTTTGCCAGAGCACTCCCAGATCCACTAGGACACAACTATACCTCCGTACTAAAGAAGAAGCTATGACATACGGAAAGTTCAGCAAGATCACATGCTGGCTTTCTACAGGAAGCACAATATTGCCATTATTGGAGAGATCTCCAGGCAGGAAAGAAATGGAGAGATCGTACGATCTCAGGAAACGTAGCTGGAAATCACAATCTTATGGTCACCTTCGAAGGAGGGGTAGAAGCACTTACCTACGATCAGATAGATTATGAATTAGAAGAAGATAGCAATGCTCACTTAGCCCAGGGAGGTGACTATGCGGCTGTTGCAGCCCGCGGGGGAGGGCGACAAGGAGGAAGAGGCCGTGGGAGAGGAAGAGGCGGTCGTGGCCGTGGTGGAAGAAGAGGACCCGCCGCCTAGAGGGGTAGTGGCGAAGGTAGCTACTATGTGGGTGGTAGGGGCAATGGTGCTTCATAAGGTGGTAGAGGTCCCAACTCCATAGGGGGTAGAGGTAGAGGTGGTTATGGGTGGCCGTACCCAGCACATCCCGGACTTCCCATAGGCAAACCGTGGGAGCAGATAGGGATAGATGAGAAAACTTGGGAAGAGAGGAAAGTCGCCGAACAATGTTTTAAATGTGGTAACCAGGGTTGTCGAGCCCCGGCCCCGGGGCCCCGGCGGGGGTCCGGGGGTGGGCACCCCCAACCCCGGC